ATTTCTAATCCTATAGAATAGAATGGCGTTTTATAGAATCTTCCGTAAGGCTTAAGTATAGCCTTGCCTAATGGATACCACGTGATCCTAGCTTATATAAGCCTAATCACGTGACTAGGCGTTAATAGGGTATCGCTTAGTCTTAACATCTAGTTACGTACGTTAAAGAGTAAGTTATTATAATTTTAGGGTAATATTCTACTATAGTCGATTTAATACCTTACCGGTTTTTTAAAGTAGTAAACGAACTAATCGAGAAACGGTCTTATACTATAAAATTAAGTTCGTTTCCTATTAAATTTAGCGTTAATTAAGTAGCGTACGAATCTCTATCGATAGATATCGATTTTATCTACGTAATAGCGGCGTAGTTAGTATTAATTAATTAATTTAGCTATTTTATAGTACTTAGTAAGATCGAATAACTTTACGAGGGTCCTAGGGATAGATATTAGCCGTATTCTATTCCGTACGAATACGGAATAATAATAGACCCTTATTACTTACTTTTTTATAGGCTTTAAGAAACCTACTCTTCTTTACGGCCGAGGCGTCGTCGTACCTAGCTAGGTTAGCGATTTCGTCTCGATATCGATATTTAAGGAGCGAAAAGTAAGTAAGATTAAGTAGCTATAGAATATAACTTAAATAAGGTATTAAATAGACTAGAGTAATTCGATTTATATAATATTCCTATATAAACTCGTACGTCGTATAACTTTTACGTCTATCGAGTAGAAGTAGTCGATAGTCGTTCGTTACCGTTTATAGAATAAATATTTAACGTAGCTAGGCTAATCTAATATTATTTAAGGTCTATCTATTAGGTAAAACCGTATAGGAGTAGTTAGGAGTATTAGGGTCGGTAAACTAGGTCGATTAAAGCGCTTTTCCTTTAAATATAACGAGACATCGTATATTAGGAACGAATAAGCGCTACTAAGCGAACGCCGAGATTCTAGTATATAAGAGCTACTTACCGTATACGGGTCTTAGGGGAACCTTATACTTTAAGCTTACTACGATAGATACGTTAAGATATTACTTATAATTAAGAGATAGATTTAATATTAAGACTATTTACACTACTCTACTAGTAGTCCTACCTATTAGTACGAGTAGTACCTAATATTCTTAAAGTATAAAAACTAAACCGGTCGAGTACTACTAGTAGTAGGCGAGTCGGCTATATAATCTATAAGAGCCGTAAGTAGCCGAGCTACGTCTAAATAACGAGGAAAAGCTTTATTAAACGCGAGGTCGAATACGATTTATTTAAACCCTATTCCTAAAGAGGAAGATATAGATTAAGAGGGCGATAGGAGCCCTCCTAAACGAACGAGAATATATACTAGCGTCTATCGGTGTTTTAGCCCGCAGCCCAGCGCAACTCAATTTACTATGGGAGCCTAGGGCTACTCAGCGCTTATTCTATATTCTATGAGAACCTACGACCACTCAGCGCTTATTCTATATTCTATGAGAACTTATAGCTACTATTATATTTCCTAATTAGGTAATTTTTATATATAGATATATTAGTAAATTTAGCGTATTTTTAATTTTTAAAAAATTTAAGGTTTAAGGTTTACGCTAAGGTCGGCTAACTCGCTAGTACTCGAATTAATTAACTAACTACGCTAATAACTTAATAATTTAAAATATCGAAGTTTTAGT